GAAAGAGCTGAGAGGGGTTCTTTTCTAGCAAAAATTGCACAAAGTTATCACTAGATGGTGTTGTGAACAAACATATCTTCCCACATGAGACAGGCTGCATCTTAGAACAATGTCGGCCTCTTCTCTGTGAGCCAAGAGAGGTAGTTTGTCTGAAGTCAGGCAGAAGCCTAGGTAGATTTCCCTTTAAAAACTAACTAAATGCATCTCTGATTTAGCTAGCCTATGAAGATCAAACCTGTCCTGCCTTCAGCCTGGTCTCTAAATCCAGGGAATGCACTAGATTTCACAGAGGCTTACAGGGAGGGTTTCAGAGAGCACTGAAGCATGATTTAGCAACTACAAACTGTAATTTGCTTATGAAACAGTACAAAATGGCTGTTCATGCCCCTCAAATCACTGGTACTGGAAAAGCAACAGCATGCATGCCAGGTACTACAATACAGGTTTATTCTCTATGGGATGGCTAGAATAATCCAACCTAGAGGATGGCTCATTTTATTACAACCCATTGCAGCAGTTCCTCAGCTGGTCCACTGATGCGAGTAATTTTTTCTATACAGTTACTAGTATTTAATCTAGAAGAAGGGTTATTTTCTGGCTGTTTAATCATCTGCACATACATTTCTTTCTTTTCTTTAAAATTGCCTGCTTGAAAGGTGAATAATTCATCTGTATATTAGTTACTTAAGAAAGCCCACGTTCACCTGCATTCCTTTTTCTAAGGGGGTTGGGACCCCTGTATACACCTTCTCCCTTTTATACATGAAGGAACAATGCAAGCAGTATTGCCAAGGGTGAATTCAACAGGATGCTTAGCCATCTTGCACGTCCTCATTCAGTTTTTAGCTCCATGCAAGTCTGGACGAAGGGCAGACTTCAGGATGGGGCCCAGAGACGTACAATCCCAGTTCTAATGCCTTAAAACTGGGGTTGCACAAGTTAACAGTGCACATTGTGCAAGAAATGAAGAGTGAAGCATGGAACGCAGCCATATACCCTACGGAAGAATTTGGTACGAGTGATAGTTGCTAATAGTGTTCGTGCAGCTGCCAGAATCAAATCTTTCCATATATCAACAGCTATTTCCCATTGATGCCAATGTCCTGACCTTTACTTACGTTTTAAATGCCCAGTAACCAACATGAGACTGAGAGCAGTTTGTTTGGTTTAGTTTAGTTTTTCCTCAATGGCAAGAAGGAGGTTTATCCCTCTAAAGGCCACTAGGCTTCTATTAGGCAGCATTTCTGACCTGCCTAAGCAATACGATGCCAAACAGAACTTGTTCTGTCCTTTGCAAGGTAGAGATTTTGCTACCACCTGCCATCCACTGTGGGGAAACTCCGTTTTTATTGATCTGGAGCGTGAGAGCATTGAGACAGCCTTTGGGTCAAGCCACGTAACTGGATCCTAACCAGGACACTCTCAGACTTAGAATTGCATCAATGAAGTTGGAAGAGGCCCAACCCAATTTAAAATAGGATGCTAGTTAGCTGCAGGGAGGTGAGCATGGCATCCCAGGAACAAAGGTAACACACTGAAATGGAGTGCAGGATCTTCCTTGCAGTGTTTACAATGTTTTGTTCAGGGAGAACAGAAAAGGCAATTAAATTAGATGGAGGACAGCTATTGCCCAATTTTTTTGCCTGATATACTGGGGAAGTGATATAAGGATAGCCGATCCTTGGATTAGTAAGGATCAGCAAATGCTGCCAAGGTTCCTAGTACCTTAGGTTATCTGCCACGTATGTACTAGCTGTGCAATTCAGGGCCACTTCTCTTCAAACTTTTCTTACAGTTTATTTAGAGGAAGTTTCAGCCCTCTTAGGATGTACCATATTTAGGAAAAATGGTACAAAAAAATTAGAAAATTGATAACATACAGGTTAGGAATAAAACTAGGTGCCCCAGAAGGCATGGCAGAAATAGTTACATTTATTCCTCATTTCTCACTGCTGGAATAATCTCAGCACCAGTTATTCACAGCAACGCGCTTACAGAGAATACACAAGACACAGAACCATGCTATAGACCACTGGTTTTCAACCTTTTTCCACTTGCAGACCACTTTGGAACTTTCAAATGGAGGTGCAGACCCCTTTGAATGGTAAGAGTGGATATTCATATACTTTTGATTGATTATAGCTGTCTTTTGCAGACACCTTAGACAGTCTGTGGACCCCAGGTTGAAAGCCACTTCCACAAAAATTGATAAAG